GAAAAGGGGATAGCACCGCGGTGAGCCCGTACCAGAGAGGGTATTAGTGCGGTGAGCCTAGAGGACCGGTGGACCAAGAGGACGTCCTCGAGGGGACTGCCCTATTGTAGAGAAGGCCCAAGAGCGGGTGTGTATTTTGGCCAGACAACATCTTTCCCATCAGCAAGGCTTGGGGCGTGGTATTAGGGGTGGTAGGAGCCACGCGCAGCCCATAAGGCTAGGGTGCTTAGGGAGCACCCATCATACCGGGAGACCACAGGAGTCCGGGAGAACCGCGGGGACAGAGGTCCCGAGTAGCCGTGCCCAGGGAGTCGTAGGCAGCCTCACAACTATATATAAACAGCAAAGACGTGGCGGGCGAGAATAAGAGGGTGTCTTGGGCCAGCCTTGACACGGAGCGAGGGACCTCGAGGAGATCACGGCCCTCCTAAAGGACCCCGCCGTGACAGTGTAAAGCAGGGGAGGGCAGAATATGGCCCGTGGACTGGATCCACCCCACCAGGCCATTCTATCTGGCCGTGGGGCCCCTCTAAAATGTAGACAATTGTTACCTGCCAGTGGCTGCCTGTCTAAAAGCTGATGAGGCGCTGGTGGCATGAGTTGCTGGCTGCAGCAGCAAGCAACTCGGGCTCTGGTTGTGATGCAACCAATCCAAGACCAATCTGATCTGCTCCGCCCTGCTCTACCCCCACCCCCCGAAGTGTCTGGAGAGGCTTCTGCCCTGGTGACCCTGTGGCTGTTCCCCAGCCCACATTTGTCTGAGAGTTGAAATTCAGACAAGAATGGGCAGGGGAGTAGGGTATTGCTGGGATTCTGGCTCTGTGCCTCCATGTGTCACTCCTGGCTAGAGTGCTTGTAGCACCACGTGGAGGCACAGAGTTGGCCCAGCCTGATGGGCAGGACTTTGCTGTGTAGGTATGGTGGGGGGTGTGGGAGTGTGCGTGGGTGTGTGTGGGATATGTTGGGGGTGTGGGATTGTGTGTTGGGGCTGAGGTAGGGTGAGGGGTTATGGTAAGGAGTGGGAATATATGTGGCAGCTGTGGGAAGGTGTGGGTGTGTCTTGGGGATATAGTGGGAGGTGGGGAGCCAGCTCTGCCCATCCTGTCCCAGCTGCAGTGTTCAGTTCCCAGCTACAAGGCCAGGACGCAAATAGCACAGCACAGGGCCAACCTGGCTCATCCTGGCATAACACGATTCCACGTGCAAGGCCAGGACCCACACGGTGCAGCATGAAGCCAGCCCATCCCATCCCTTCCATGCCATGCAGAGTGGGTCCCGACTATGCGGCCAGGAACCATGCATCGCAGTTGGGACAGGCCAGGCTGGGCTGGCACTGTGCTATGCCATGTAGGTCCTGGCCTTTCAGCCAGAACTGCGTTGGGCCAACCCGGTCATCCTGGCACTGTGCCAAGCCAGACCTGGACAGGTTGGACAAGTGGGCAGAAAACAACAGAATGCAGTTCAACAAGGAAAAATGCAAAGTGCTGGACCTAGGGAGGAAAAATGTCCAGCACACCTACTACCTAGGGAATGACCTGCTGGGTGGCACGGAAGTGGAAAGGGATCTTGGAGTCCTAGTGGACTCCAAGATGAACATGAGTTGGCAGTGTGACGAAGCCATCAGAAAAGCCAATGGCACTTTATCGTGCATCAGCAGATGCATGACGAATAGATCCAAGGAGGTGATACTTCCCCTCTATCGGGCACTGGTCAGACCGCAGTTGGAGTACTGCATGCAATTCTGGGAGCCGCACTTCAAGAGGGATGCGGATAACCTGGAGAGGGTCCAGAGAAGGGCCACTCATATGGTTAAGGGCTTGCAGACCAAGCCCTACGAGGAGAGACTAGAGAACCTGGACCTTTTCAGCCTCCACTACAGAAGGTTGAGAGGCGACCTTGTGGCTGCCTATAAGTTCATCACGGGGGCACAGAAGGGAATTGGGGAGGCTTTACTCACCAAGGCGCCCCCGGGGGTTACAAGAAATAATGGCCACAAGCTAGCAGAGAGCAGATTTAGATTGGACATTAGGAAGTCCTGCTGATGCAGGGGGTCGGACTCGATGATCTATTGAGGTCCCTTCCGACCCTAACATCTATGAATCTATATGGGTCCCAGCCTTGCAGCTGGGAACTGCATGCTGCAGCGGGACGAGTCCCAGTAAAACATCTCACGTAGACGCATCCTCTGAGGACTTTGGAGAATCTTCTTTCCTCATTCCTCCTGTCCTTTGAAAAAATAATTACATTTTTTATTTTTATTAAAAAATAATTACTATACACAGGAAGGAGTATAAAACCAAGAACACAAGGGTCACTAAAACCAGCAAAACAAATCCCAAAGATGAATAACACACCAATTATAAAAATAAAACAGAAGGGTAAACTTTATCAGGCCTAGAAAAATTGAATGCGGGAAGGAAGTGGTGAAGTTTAACTAATGATACTGCCTTTACCCTGACTCTAGAGCTGCTGGGAATAAGGTCAGATGGTTTTAAGTAGCCATCTGAATTCTTGTTTGCTTTGGTAATGCCCCCTAGAGACTGAACCACAGCTTCTGGAGGGTGAGAAGTGAGGTTACTTCTATGCATTTTTCAATTAGAGGTTAACACAGAAATAATTTCAATGCACTTGGAGAGGAAAAAAAATCCCTGGAGACTGATTTATATTCAGACCTTGAAGGATAAAATACCAGAACGATGCAG